TGAACGCCTGTCGCTTGATTCTGTTCGAAGCTGAAAGGGAACGAACCAATAGCCAACCTGCGCATTGTTCATAGCACACACGAACTGTGCATCCACACTTCACACGAAGTACATTGGCGGAAACATTTATAGGTCAGGCCGAGCGCACCGTGGCGGGCGCACCCGATCGGTTCGATTCTCCAATCGAACCGGGACTGCCACAGTGAATGGGAACGTTCCGCCCAACCAACGCCTGTTTCGACACGCCCTGGTCGAATGCCGGCTCCGCGGCGCAGGGCGCTGGTCCAGACCACTCCTGATTGCCACTGGCCGTTCACACCTGGGCCGTGACAAAGCGGACAGCGTCCGAGTTGGCGACCACCACGCGGCGAATGCAGCTCACCAGCCGGCGGCCGCGGCTGGCACAGCCCATCGATTAAACAACGCTGCGGGAAGGGGCAGCTCTGCGTGCTCAAGATATCCGACTGCAGAGTGTCCGCTTCCGTTCAGGCTTGCTGGTGCGACGCTCAGCAGCTACCGGACAACGAAAGACGAAGGGGGAGACAAAATTCCATGGCGCAGCATTCCGGGGAGCAGCGGCGGCTATGAGATTCGTCCGATTGCCGAGCGACCCGCCGATGCTGCCGGCCGACGCCCAGCCCATCTCACTCTTTCCGCCCGGGGCGACAAGACCAAAGGGGCCTTGAGACGCAGGAACCCCGCCAGGCGCGCCGGGGGATCGATCGGCGAGCCCTGGCGTCGGGCGGCACTGGGCCCTCCCAGGCGATCCGAGTGGCCGTGCCGCTGGTCGAAGGGGTGGTAGACGGCACTGAGGCGCACCCGGCCGGTCGCGTTGGGCCGATGGAGCGGGCCGTCGGCGATGGGAGCACCGGCGCAGGCTGGAGCCGCGCCGTGGGCAACCTTCGTGACTGGCCTTAAGTACCGCGGCCGTGCGGTCACGACTTGTCCCATCAGTGAATGTGACGATGGGTGTTTCTGGTCCGGTGGCGGGTTGGAGCATGAAGATGAATTCGGGGTGAAAGCCGCATAATTTAAGATTGCTGACATGTTCACTACCGGGCAGCTGTTTGCTGGTGGCTGCCGGGAACCGGGCTGGAGGCAACGGCGTTACAGATTCATATTAAACATCGATGTGCGTTTGCGGTCACCCTGTCCATTCAGTCCACGCGTCATGAGGACGCCACCCACCAGCAGAAATCGACATTTTTGTGATGCCAATTGTGATGCCGTTTGCCACTAATTGATGCCATCACAGCCACTTTCGTGCCATCGCAATCACTGTGATGGCGCCAGTTTGTGTCAAAATGGCATCGCAGCTGGCGTCGCAAACACCGCGTTTTCTGATAGTGCACGCGGCACTAACACAGGGAAATGTCTCCGAATGGCGCATGCTGCGCGGCGGCGCCCCTTGAAGACTTCAAAACCATCCAGCAACGTCACACATTCTCCAACAGCCATTCTGCACGAGGCTTCAAGGTAGGGTGCATCATCAAACTCCATCAAAGCTCACCGAGTGTCGTCCTGATGGCAGCAATTGCTGTTGCAACAGGGTCAGCGCCACTCATGAGCTCGCCACGCTAACCCGCAGCCCCATGAGTAAACACCAAGCTGTCCCATCGATGTCGGTGTGACGGCGCCGACCTGTCCCATCCCTCAGTCGAGGCCTGATGCACGAAATTCAACAGAGCGAGGCGCGAGCGCATGGCACACTTCCGTCGCAAAACCATTAGGCGGAAAATATTTGACATTTAATTGCATTCTGGACATCTGCACACGAGTCGGATTCTCTTGTTGTCTTTTGTGGAATGTTTGAGGATTGTGTCAAACGTACATACAGCCAAATGGAGTAGAGTGCCTGCCTCTGCTGAAAAGCAGATTAGCAGAAAGTGGTGCAGGAACAATAATTGCATTGTGGGCATCTCGCACACGAGGTAGGTACTACAACCCAACCACCATTTTCTCCGGAACAACGTTCCGAATTTCGAATATCTTGCGTCTCTTTCTGAGGGGGTTTTGCTGTTTTGTCGCTCTTCGCTGAACTACAGCTCGGCATTGTTTTTTCTCGGCTCTGCACTGGTCTTGTCGGGCCACAAAAGCAAGGAAGGACGCAGGATGGCCCTGTGAACCAGCTCGGAGTTGGCACTTTCATCCCTATATTATATATTATATGAATTCATAATAATATATTCAAATATTACTATTCACGCTCTAGCACTGGGCTGGAGCAGCCAGCGCTGTTTTGCAGCTAGCTGTGGCAGCTGGCGGGCAGCGTTGAGGAGGTCGAGGCGCGATGAGCACCTTGACGTTCATGAGCATTTTGCGGGGCGGCCAATTGCGTCCCCCTGGGAAACAAGGCAAGGGCACTTTTTTTTGTTCCCTATTTGGTGTGGGCGACGGCCAGCCATGGGTGCTGGCGACACCTTTTCAAATTTGACACATTTATTGGGCCGCCGGCGCCCACGCTCTTTCAAATTGAAAGAGCAGTTGCGTAAGCAAGGGGCGGTCGATCCGCAGCCTGCGAGGGGGCAGGCCGAGTGGTGTTGGGGAATGATGCCAAGGAACGCCTTGGCTCAGGTGGAAATGGCGGTGGCGGATGCGACTGGCCAGCCATGGACAATCATATGACCAGCGATCCACAAATCCTGTAGACAGTCTCTGAGAGTGCATCTGAAAGGCAACACCGTCCGGGTGCCTATCGCTGGAAATGCTCTACTCTTTTGTGCACAGAGGCTCCGTCTTTTATTGAAGCGAAGATTTGCACTTCAGATTTTCACCTCAGCGGTGCGCTTGGCCTCACAGCGGTGCCGTTGCTCCAAACACTGGTAAAAAATTGGCCAAAATACACTACTTCGGGAATTCTGTATGTTCGAATTACCACTAATTGGCCACTGATCTGCAGATCAGGCAGATCAGGCAGCTGCCTCCGTCAATTACTGATTTGTAATCCGATGATTGAATGGTGGCATATGAGAATCCCGTTTCGAGGAATGCCATCAACAATATATTTGAATGGCTTTCACCTTGTCTCGATGTTTCGCATGCAACTTTCCAATTATCGTAACTGGAGGTCAGTGTCTGAACACTGATGCGCAGTGAAACTCAATGAGAGAAGTGAATACATATTAAAAAGCCAGTTTAAAGAGATGAAAGTCTGACACACCAAGACGGCCGCAGCTACCATTTTGTGCGAGCAACTGTTCGTGTGCTGGCTGGCTGGTGCACACATTGACCTGACTGAGATGGCGGGAGGACGGCTGACCAACAATCAGCTTCAATCTTACTAGTTTTGGTGATCGTGAGTTGGCGCTGTGGGTTGGAGCTGTGGGTCGGTGCCGTGGGTCGAAGACATGGGTCGGTGCTGTGGGGCAGCGTGTTGTGCATGTGTGAAGCGTGAATTCAATCCGGCGCTCTGAGTGTGAGTGCTGGTGGGCAAAAGAAGAGGCACATTCTGGTATTTAAAGAGAGTCCGAGACTGTTCGAGGCTTCTCTTGGTTTGGTTGTAAGACAAGTTGAGTCTTGGCTGCTTGTCCGACCATGCACCGCGAGTGCGTTCGAGCACCGCGTGCACCAAGGTTGTCACAGAGTTCGAACCAAGACGGTTTGACTTGTTCTACGTTGTGGTCCATCGCTGCGCGCATTCGATTGCGACAAGCGGGATCTCGAACTGGGATGGCTAAGGAACTTTGACACCTTCACTAGGAAAAAAAGGGCCAAATAGCACGTGTTCAAACGTGTACAAAGTTTACGGGTTTGTGTTATTATTGTGTTCTTAGCGTGTAAAACTATGATGAAATGTGTTTTATGTATGTTCGCAAAAGTGTTATTTGGCCCCTTGTCTCCTAATGTGTACCATGTAACGCGATGAAAATCGTGTGAAAATTCGTCTCAAATCGAGTATTTGTCGTACACAAATTGGACCAAAGCTTGTAGTAACGATTGGGTGAGTGCGCATGATTTTTACAGGTTTTGACACCATTTTTACGCGATGTTTACACGCTTCAAAACCGTGTATCTTGGCCGACTTTGTTATGCTTGTGTGGAGGCTCCGTTTTCCTGGAGGCGAAGACCCGCACTCCCGTTTTTCAACTGCACGGTGCATTTGGCTTCGCAGCAGCGCCGCCGCTCCAAAACCCGCCTTGGGGACGAAAGTCCCTGCTGGGCTCCACCTGGCCACCCGATCTCCCGTGTGTACGAAGCAATCATGCGCCAATTAGTCACGACCCGCCCGCCAGCTTCCGCTCAACAGACCCCTCCCCTCCCAAGCGCCAACGCATACCGACGTCGGCCCCAGGCGCCATGACGCTGGACGGACCCAGAAGGCCCCACTCCTCGTTAGACCTGCTGACACATGACACCACGCCAAAAGCACAGCACCCGAATGTGCTGGAGACGTCAAGACTACAAACCTGTCGGGATCGACACATCCTGGGCGGTGACGCATTGCCGACTCCCACTACACCCCAAAGTACAGGCAACCTCAAGTTTGCCAACCATGAGGGTTCGGCCCCATTTCAAAACACACGGCTCCCCGGTTGCCACTACTTTGAAATATCGAACCCTTCCGCATCAGAAAATTTCACCGTTACGCTTTTTGCTCTGCATTTTGCTTTTCACAGCGTTGTTTCTATTTTTGTTACGTTGCTCCGCACAGAAAGGCCAAGATTTGCGTTGATATTTACACGACTCTCTCTGCAAAAAATGACCAAGCGTTACGTTGCTGTGCGGAAGGGTTCAACATTTGGCAGTACACCCCAGAGTACCGGAGACCAAACTGCAAACCTAATAGGGCATGGTCAGGTCTTAGGAATAAAGGGGTCCCCGGATCGCAGAACTACAGGCTGAGCCCGTTGAGACCTCCCCCGTGGCCCGACTCGGGGTCCAGGGGCCCCTCCTGGGCACGCCTCCCCGGGCAAATTTATCAGCGCCCTCCCTTTGGGCCCCCAATCGGCCGTGCTGCCGTCTTGAGCGGACGCCCGGAGCGGCGCAGAGAGAGCGGGAGGATGGCAGGGCGCTGGCGCCGCCCCGGCAGCGCCTCCGCAATGATCCTTGTCTTTGCAGCCCTGCTGCTGGCCCCCGCGTGCCGGGGGGCGCGCCACCTGCTCGGCCGAGGTGCCTCTGTCGAGATTTCGATCAACGGCACGAGCACGGCGCGGTGAGGGCCCCGAATCCGAATCCTTTGGCCCCTTTTTCGGCGGGATCTGGCCTGGTGGGGTCCGATGCTGCGATTGTGGGCCCGGATCATTGCGGGGATTGGCTTGACGAATCGGGGGGGATGTTTTGGCGCCGCAGGGTTGGCCACCCGGCTGCCAACGCCGGCTGGACGGTGAACCCGTTCATGGTCGTCGGCAGCGGCAGCGGCAAAGCCGCGTTCTACTGGGCGCCGGGCCAGGGGGCGCTGGTCTCGGGCATCGACGTGTGGGCGGGCGTAGACGGCGTCAACGGGATCGCGGTGACCTTCACGGCGGGGAAATTCACGGAGGGGTCCACGGGGCTGTTCGGGAGCAAGGTGGGGGCCCACAGCGGGCTGGTGCTGTCGGCGGGCGAGAAGATCACTGAGATGACCCTGTGGGACAACGGTCTGCCGTCGCCCAGATGGGCCTTCGGTGCGATGAAGATCGTCACCGACGCCGGCCAGACGTTTGATGCCGGTGTGGCGCCCAGCCACCGCGGGCAGGCGTACGTGCTGGATGTGGGGTCAGGGTTTGTGGTCGGAGTGTCCGGGCACTACGGCAGTTCGGTCAACGCCTTCGGTGCGTGTTTCCTGAAGCCCGTGATTTCGGCGTCGCTAGAGGTGGACGCCTACCCCACGCTCCAGGACCACTCCCCCGCGGGCGGCAAGGCGCAGTCCGTGCTGGCCACCGTCACCTACAGCAACTTCGGCGACGAGGAGCAACACGTGCGCATGACCGGCGCGCCCACCCTGCCCGCCAAGCACCTGTGGACCTGCGACGCGTCCGAGGTGCTCGGCGTGGATGTGCCCATTCGCGCCGGCGTGCCGCGCGTCGTGGAAACCGACGGCGTGCCTTCCAACTGGACGGTCACGGACGCCGTGGACCGGTCCAGCGATGGGGATGAGGAGGAAGTGGAGCGCGTGTACGATCTGCCGTTGACCGTCGGACCCCACAGCTCCGTGGACGCCAAGGCAACTCTGGCTGAGATCGACCTCGACATCGGGTTCACGGGCAGGGTGGGCGTGATCGTTGACGGCGGGGCGAAGTGGACGTACCGGACGAGCGGCAGGTACCAGGGGCTGGCCTACGCGTTCACGGTGTCGCTGGGCAACGTTACTCCTCTGGACGGGGAGCCGGCATTTGTTGGGGGGTCGAAGATTGGGGGTGCATTGGCTGAGGAGCCGGCCGTGAAGGACGTGGATTCGCATTTGAAGGGATCTGAGGAGATGGACAGGGAGGTGTGGGAGTGGAAGGGGGTGGGGGGTTTTGATGAGATTTGAGGGTGTGGCGATGTGCAAGCATACACTCAAAGCTTAGAATAACTGGGGCCTTGCTGGTGGCGAGCAAGGCAGGGATGCGGGCTGGTGCGGGGCAAGGGTTTTTGAGGGATGGTTTTGCCAAGGGGCTGGTGGCCATGGTGGCGTTGCAGGGATGGGCGGGGGTGCGATTCTACTTTCATTGCCCGTATGTGTCGTGGAAATGGAAAAACTGCCCAGGCAGCTGTAGGGCAGTGCTGGCTGGTTGAGGTGTGAGTGTGGTGGTGTCTTGAGTCGTTCCGACCTCTGCAGTTGAGCTGGAGGTCGGGCAGGTGGCAGAGATTGTGGGCTCTTTAGAGCTGAATCTCAATTGCGGCAGAGCTCGGGAGGGGCACTGAGGAGTGTGTTTGTTCAGCCAAGATAGTGGGAGATGGCGGCAGCGAGAGCCGAACAATAGGGCGCCTTCTCGCAGGGACTTGCCTGTTTTCATGGTGCCTTGGGCGTGCCCTATCACGGTGCCTCCTGGGGGCCTCAAGACTGATGTTGGTAGACTATTTGTTCCCCTGGAGGCGTTTCGTGCGGTGGGGCATAAGTGCCTGCGCTTTCGTTATGTTCAATTCACTTGGTCGAATTTTGGGATACTAGGGATCCGGGATGGGACGCCGCAGCGCCTAAAACGTTCGGTTGGGACGCTCGGGTGGATTTCACAGGTGGTGGCGTTGGTGGTGGGCGGTTCTCGACCAGTTCGTTGATTGATTGATTATTTCATTGCCTCATGGCACCTTGTTTCATGGACGAACGAAGAGGGGGCTGGTGGGGGGTGGTGGGGCTAGAGTGGGCAAGAGATTTTGTTCCTGAGCGAGCGACCAGGACCCTGACGAATGCTGTTGTTGTAAAGATGCAAACGCTAGTCAAGAAGGCGCGCTTCCCTTCCCTGCATCGGCAAGATCACGATCCTTGGCCCTGTCCACACACGCTCTCAGCGCCTCAGCCAGCCACGCACCTCAGAATTTAGACTTGAAAGTCCGACGCCGAAACTTCAGGAGTCTCCTGAAAGGGTGCCCCAGGGTGGAGGGAGAATCTACCTGCCATCCGGCCACCCGCCCCCTTCGTCAACCACAACCCCAAGCTGACCAAGAAAGCCAGGAGAACAGTAGAAACGGAAACAAAGCCATCCATGGCGTCGTCACTGCCCTTGGCTCGCGGGCGTTGCTCGCCCCTGCAGGCCTGACAAGCAGCACTCCGCACCTGCACGGCACACTGCAGTCTTCCGATGCTTCAGGGCCGCAACACCTCGTCTTGCAATCCCCATCCCCCCTGTGCCGCCGAGGACATTCTCGATAACTTCCTCGGTTGGCAGCTAAGTTGCGTTTACCTTTTCCCGTGCTTGAAACCGCCCTGCGCTTGCCCTCCAGCAAGTGATTTTCAACGCGAAGTCTCCAGTCACTAAACATCTGGATTAAAACACATGCAGAGGAACATAATTTGCTGAGAAATTAGCCATTCCACAGCTGACTGTCATCCTGGCGTTGACGCCCTTTCAGGGCGATTGCCCTGGATGCGCTTGACTTGATGTCCAAGGCTGCGGCGCTCAAGATGGGAAATTGCGTTTACTGCCCAATGTGGAGGCGGCACGAATCGACAAACGAACATCGCCCAGGCAAAGCTCTGGCAGAAAACGTGGTCTAGAAGGCCATGGGAGACAGCTCACAAGGTGCGATTCACAACACAGTGTTTTTAAATCTGGTAAGTGCTGCACAGCAGAAGACTGGGCCAGTCCCCCTTGCAATCCAAAAATAGTGGGCCCCTCCCAATAGCAGTCTCCCTACTAGGTCAACCCCCAGCCGCAGTAGTATTAGGAGAGCTCTCCGAACAGCCAATAACAAGACCTCGAACCACTTGCCCACGTGACTGACCCATCTAACCCATGTCCTAAACAGCCCCGCGCACAGAAGCGCAGCCAAGCATGGCCCAATCACAAAATTTCTATTAACAATCATCAATGAAGATTCCCGGTGTCCCAATCAAGCTTGTAACACCAAAAATGAGCCCATCAAATGCACGGCAGCTGCCTTCCCAGCTGCCGCTCGATGCTCCACCAGAAGGTAAGCTGAGACGAAGTTTAGACAGAGTGGATGGCGACGAGACACAGCTGGCAATATGAAGCCAAGGTCAGTCATCTTGGTGCTACCATCGCCGACATGACTTTCTGATATGGCACACTGGGTTAATGGCGGACCGTCCATGTCCATAGCAGCGCAACAGCCCAAACATGCCTGCTCGGACATTCAGCAAACCGCCAGAATGACTTCAGGGCAACAAACTCCTGACAGCGCACTGAGCCGTGACACCATCTTCTGAGAAAAATTCTCTACTTGGCGGACATGCCAACATCATCCCATCCCCATCTGGCTGCATCGATACCACGCCGATGCCCCACAACTAGAAACACGTTCCTTGAGGACCCGCTGACCTCTTCAAGCATGGCCCCAAATGAAATCCTCCCCCAGGTTGCCATTCATTAGAACATCATTGTGTGCATCTGCACAACGGCCATAACGTTCCACAAAAACGACACAACCACATTCCCCTCACGGTCCTTTAGCTAGAGCTGACTAAACCCCACCTCACAGCAATGCAGCCTCACATCACAGCAACCTAACCCGAGTCGATGCAGACCCATCTGCACGTACATTAGCTGTGACAACACACCATCACCACACCTTGCAGTACATTAGCTGTAGTCCACGGAGCCCCGCCTTGGAAGCTCACAGCTGCCTTGCTCTCTCCTCAGGCCTCGGTCGCCACCCGCCAATGACCTCACCGCCACTTTCACCTGTGAAAAGGAACCCAGTGTCAGTGCACCAGGACAAAACAAGGCCATGGCAAAAGAACACCAACAAGACAACACAGAAAAAATATATCAAAGGTGAGACTCCACCCCACCTGCACCCAATCCCACCCTGACGTTGAAACTTCTCCCCATAATGTCATTGGCCCAATAGGATGGGGCAATTCAGTCCACGACACTGGTGCAGACAAATAACCGTGCAGCAGCTCTTGCCAGAAGCACTGCCCACGATGAAGAGCTCCCAAACAGTGTTCAAGCATCTACTTACTGCACTTCAATGGATGTCTTAGCTGACTGAGCCCCACCATGCTTTTCAAGCTGAGAATTGGGAACTCGATTGCCACAAAGACAAGTCTTGGATTGATTGACTGAGGATCTCCATCACAACACACTAGCGGACAATGGGGCACTGCAGTCCACCAAATGGGTACCCTACATGCCCCATACCTTTCCCACTGTCCCAGAGTGCAGCAGCTTATGCTTCATAGACACTTTTCCCGGCTCTCCTTCCACTCCCTTTTCAGTGACATCCACCTGAGCATCAGAATTCATGCGCTGACGAGATGCAAATCACATTTCAAAAGGCATTGCCACTGCTGCAACACAAGAGTGCATTTTCCTTTGGATGCTGGCAATGGCCAACATTAACATACAATATCGTGCTCAACGTGAGACACCTTGCAAACTGGAGACTCACACTTACATGCTGGACAACTGCATTCATCCGGCAGGTGGATGGAGGAAATACTCAAACATGCACAGCATGTGAACAGGAGCACACAAGGGAAGGAACAACTGTAAACTTGGCTCATGAGGATCAATGAAGGAAAACGAGGAACGAGGAATTGCATCTTAGTAATGATAATACCAGTGCCGGAAAGACCATGTGCTTTTTAGATTTCAACATCGCCATACTGGACTTTTTGGTGACGAGAATTGCAAATTTGTGGACACACTGATGCCCTAGTCAAGGACAGACACCACAGTTTACAGCGCAGCCCAGTTTCTGTTCTCTGAACCACTGCAGCAATACCTGAACGCCAGCGAGATATGCGATGCCACCATCGGCCCCGCGAATTGGGGTGATGTGCAGATAGTTCCAAAACGGTGTACCATCATATCGGTAGTTGAGGAGGGTTGCCGTGACAGGTTGTGGTGGCTTGGCAGTGATTGCTGTACGAACCTTGGCCACCTCCTTGACATCGGTGTCAGTGCCCTGGAGGAACCGGCAGTTGTGGCCGATGACCATTTCCCTGCGGAGGGGAGCAATGGGGGATCAGAAATGAGTCACTGTCGAGAGAATCAGAAAAGCAGATGGCAATCATAGCCCAGGCGGGTCATAAATCGGGTCCTGTCCTTGCGATTTGGCTTCAATACACACATGGCAAAGGGCGACTCTGTTCCTCTAGAATTTAGAACTAGATGAAATCGCAATGACCGCCAGGCAGCGACTAGTAGGCAATGTAACTCAATGACTAGGAGCCTGAGCAAATGGTCAAGTCAAAGTTCACTGTCTGGGTTGTGAAAAAAGGTGCATGCAAATATACTTGCTGATATGAGTTAACATTCCATCTGCTGCAGCCTCTTCAACACAGGAACATCAGAGAACTCTGGTGAGCATTGTGACCAGCTGCACGCAGGGGCAAAATATAAAAAAGTTTGAAAAATTAAATATATATTTTCCTGGTGGAAATTATAGGCAGGTGGCGATTCGCTGCATTGCTTTGTGTGCTGGCATACCACTCATGTTCATAATGTCTCAAAGCTTCATATATACTACAACAAATGCCCCCCCTAACAGCAAGGCAGACTGTGTTGTTTACAAAGAATGCATGCATCTTCCACGTCAAACTATGGTGTGGAAACAACTGTGTATCGCGGTGCTCCCCACAATGGTGGACACTGATATGGTTTCCCTTTGTCACAGTAAGGCAACCTGAGGAAGGTTGTCTCAGCAAACGCAAAGGAACGACTTCTGCCCATGGGGCAGCTGACTCAAGATCACTTCTCCATGCGTCCCATTCTTCTGTGCTGGTGCACAGTACTCGGTACATGGCTGCACTCTTGCACACTGTGCACCATTGTGCCACAAAGTGTTGCCCGCTATCAATGGCGTTGATTGGCATCTCACAATCTAACAGCTGCTGTCATCACAAGCAATTCATGTTCCACTTCAAGCTAGCAGTGCAGGCCAGCGGGCTGCAACCTTCTGACCACGTCGACATTGTCTGCAAGATGAAAACGTGAGCACTGAAGATGCACATTGGTCAAAGTGTAACTATTGCTCACCTTGGATACCCTGTGAGCTGCAGGAAGCCCTGGCCGGCATGCACAATGGGCATGTCAGGCTGATTGGGGTCCACAAGCACCAGCGACTGCTGGATTCTGGTCAACGACTGCAGAAGGGAAGTGGGAAGCACGCTGCAGGCACCATGAGCAGAAAGCGACACCTTGCCCATCTCTGCAGCAGTGGCACGGACACACACACACACACACACACACAAGCTAAAGTACTGGGACATATTGAGGCACTCTGGCAACAAATTGAAGTACAGGGGACGTGCATCCACTACAGGATGCACAGGTGCTACAGGTACTGTGCTGATTCCCACAGATGGGTGCCACGTATCTTTGTGGACTGTCAAATGGTTCTCATAACTGCCTTTCAGAAAAATCTGTCACCTTGATGAACAAACATACACAACCAGACTTTGAGGGGTCATCGAGCTCTCCATGAGATGGTGCACAGTAACAAGTGTCAATGGTGACTGCAGCAAGTGCAGTCCTTGGCCAAATTGTCACCATTTGCATTGGAAGGGCACTCCACTGAGCCATGAAGCAAATAAAGTGCTCAAGCACACTTGGCTATGGCCGATTTCCCCTTCAACATGTTTGTCATAACATGACATCGGAAACACTGTCATTTCTCGGGGGACACAGTGCGTGTTTGCGCATTACGAAAAATCACTGACTTCCTAGCATTCCCATTTAGAATACATTGCTTTCCATACAGTTCTCATGCACTCTAGCTGAAGTCTGCTACATTTAGTAACAATTGTGTCCAGATATTTCACATCCCAATTTCAGCAAGCAAGCAATGGGGCAATTGTTGGGATGTCCTACACAGAGAAATGATTGGAGCGCAGCCTTCCATCAATGCAGAAGCGGTGCAACCGTTTGCTGCCACTGCCCCACTGCACAGCAATCCTGTGCTTTCAAGTGGAATGGGCTTTGGTCAAACTGGAGGTCAAGCAGCACCCCAAAGCCATCACCAGAGCAACCCAGGGGCCAGCGACAAATGCATCCAACCTTTGCTTTCCTCACTTGCGCCCAATTCAGGTCTAATTGTCTCCAAAATTTGCAGGGTGTTTGAACACCCATCTGATGGCATCGTGGGAGCACAATGCACTTACATGAAAGCAAGGACCCAGTGAGCCGAAGAACCAAGTGAGCTAAAACATGCTGAAATACTCACTAAGCAGGTAATGCAATGAGACTGCTGGTGCACTTGAGGATGGCCCCCACCCCCCCACCTCCCCCCCCACACCCCACCCCTCTCCTTTCCCTTCTTCAATAACAGCCTGGCTCCAGCTGTGCAGGGCTGGAGACTTGTGACGAAGACCATACATGCACCTGCAACTTGTAGGTGTAGCCTACAAGCTAGTGCCAGGCAGTAAGTAACTAATCAGGTAAGGTCAGGACCGCCCAAAAATCAGGACTGCAAGTGCCCACCATCTGCCAAGCAGGAGCAGATCTCCATTGATCGCTTCTTCTCCTCCATTCCCACAGCCTGGACACCTTCGATGGCATCAACTGCAACAAAGCAAATGCCTTGAGTCCATTGATGAATAAACAGTTCATATTTATCAACCAGGAAAGAAAACATATGGAAAGCACCCCAAGCTTGGGGTGAGCAGGGCAATCAAGGGTCAATCAGTTTGGAGGAAGATGCGCTACCTTCAGCTTAGTCGTGCCAAGTTGACATACTGCTGTTGAGTGCTCAGGTTGAGACCAAGAGTGCCTCCAAAGTCAAGATCCCTGACGCAATTGATGTACGTCTAACTGGCAGGAGGACAGGCAAGGTAGAGATATGGTTGTGAATAAAACCATTGCCACGTTAAAACAATCCAAGGCCTACAAGGACTACAAGGTTTGAAGCATTCCAACAACAGCCAGAACCATACAGAGAGGTACACAATGCTGGTGCTATCTCCTGTGTCATGGAAACAAAGTTGGGGGCAACAGCGGCACCTTCAATATTGACTGCATGATAGTAGCACCCCCCAGTACTCAGTGCAGGAGCTGTGTAGTCTTACCATCATCCACAGGCAGCCCATCGGTGGCCTTGGCCAGCACATCCGTTACATCTGTATGCACCTCGATGTAGTGCGTAACCACACCCTCATCATCATGTACAGGGTTCACGTACAACTGGTCCCAAAACTTCTGGCCACTCTTCTTGTAGTTTAGGAGACATATCTGCAAGGAAGGGTGATACCAGAGGTGCATAAGTAGGGGGCAGGGGGGGCTCCCAGGGCTGTGAGCAATTCACAACAGATGCCCTTGTGAGCAGGAGGGAGCTGCAAAATTACCCATCGGTGGGGGCCTGCCGCTGCAAAGGGGTTGGACCTCCTCGAGCGTCGCCCTGCATCGCCTTGGTTAAGGTGAATGGCAAACGCTTCGAGCTTTGCATGAAGGCAGTCAAAGCGGAACATCAACTTATTAGTCAGCTTGAGCAGCCCCCTTGGCAAGCTCGATTTCCTTTCATATTTCTGTGCCTCCTTTCCACGCTGTACATGAAACTCGTCAGCTCAGTACGCAGCTGACAAATGGCAATTAGCACACACCCACACCAAGGTGACTGTGGTCAATTGGCACCACTGCCTCGATTCAATTCTGATTCCCCGCGCTTCAGGTTCCCCAGCGTGCATGTGCACACCTGGCAGGCCCTCTCTTCTCTGATGGCGTCCCGAAGCTCCATCACCTGAGCAGGGGGCACCATCCCAAAGTCACTCTTCCTAATCTTGGGCACTGGCCCAAACAGCAGCTGTGGGCACATCTACTGTCACACATTACACCAGTGCATCGCTAGCAATCTGTGAAATGGCATCAAGCACAAGTCAACATTACTCAGGCCCACAATATCTTCTGCCCTCCCTTCCCCTATCCAGTACCTCGTTCCTTGAGGGCATATCTGCACCTCGTGGCCGTTTCGACCTGCTCAAATCTTTCTTTTAAGTAAGATTCTTAAGTTCTCAAGTTGTTTTTCTTTAAGAAAGATTATTAAGTCAAGTTTCTTAGAACAAACAGACCCACAAAACAGCAGTTGACTCCCTGCTCACCCTGCTGAACAGAACATGTCCTCTCCACTCTACGCCAAGTCATCGACAATCTGGCAACCCAGTCCATATCGACCACGCTCAAATGCAGGCAGGCCCCGCACAGTGGTCCCCATTTCCTTGTCCAACATCCACTAACAGGGCACCAGCCCTTCGAAAAACGCATTGCACCCCATGGTTGAAGGTGTCTGGCACCGAAATGACATTTTGTGTTTCCATGGCCACCATTCCGTCCCTCATTCTCGTGGGATGATCGTCCGGTTGCGTCCATCGGGCACCCATGCACCCCCAATGCCTGTTCCGGCCGAGCAATGTCTCCATTCCCACCGTGGCCTTGCCCAATCGAGTGGCCAGGCGAGCTGCCGCGCGCGCAGCTTATCTGCATCCCCGCCATCGCGCAAATTCCAACAGAAATTGAAAGCGGAAAGCAATTTTTGCGAGTCCAAAAAGTCACAACGCCGCTTGGCGCGGCCCGCGCGTTGGCCACCTGAAACGCCCCTAGAAGAGGGCATTCCCTTTGGCCAGCGGTGCCGGGAGCGGCGCGTCCTTGGGCATATTCATCCAAGGGTTTCAGTCGCGCGCAGCGAATCGTTGCCTGACATATGGGGATGCGTGTTGAGCGAGAATGGCGCGTGGCAGGGCCCGGACTCGCCGAGTAGTCTCCTCCGCACACAAACCGGTGCCCGAGCCGTGCACCAAATCCGCAGCACGGCCGGCATCCCAGTTTCCGGCCCAAACCGCCCCGCGGAGCTGCCGCGAAAACAGCTGCCGCCAACCCGAAATTCAATCCCCGGGATCGCAGACGCGCGGATGGGAGCGAGAACGCGGCGGCGCGGCGCGACGAACAATCCACGGGCAGCGGCCTGCGCTGCAAAACAAGAAATCCGGCATCCGCAACTGGTGGCCGTCAGCGACGCAATTGCACGCCCGGCCCGCCCCGCACCTTTCTCCGCTCCGTCTCGGGGCCCTGCAGGAACGCGCCCCCCCGTCCGATCACCTCCCGCGGCGCGTAGCCCGTCATCCGATAGAACCCGTCGCTGGCGAAGCAGATGGGGTTGTCGGGTCGGCGCGGGTCCGTGAGAACGAACGAGAAATCAAACTCCCGCAGAGGCTTGAGGGCCAAATCCCCTGGATGGTACGGGGCGGGCGCCTGCATGGCTGGGGATCGATCGCCCGGGGGTCTGCCGGGTGGCGGGGAGCGACGAGACGATGGCTCAAGGGGGGTTGGGCCTCCCGTGGGTTCGATCGACGGCGAGCCGGGCGACGCGATCCGCTCCTGTGGAACCGCGGGGAGGGGACGCTCGCCGTTGGCGACAATCTGCGACCGAGGCCGGCGCCCGGGACTCCAAAATTGCTGTGCGAGATGGCCACGTTTCGCGCCACCGCCCCGGCGGCGCTGCCCGGTTCCTTGCGCTCGTGGGGCGGGGACCGTCCGGGCCTGCGGGCTGCGGCTGTGGGTGGCGGGATTGGGTTGGCGGTCCTGGCGCCTGTGGGTGCGAGTGGCCGGTGGGGGGTGAGTAAGGACGGGGGGTGGGGAAAGGCGCAATGGGGTGGCGGCCAGCGCGGGTGCGTGGCGCGACGTGGCCGCGCGTGCGGGCGCCGAATCGCCAACCTGCTCCTTTGCGGCGTCCACACATTTTTTTTTGTTTCTGTGCACACGTGCTCGTCTTAAAGTACTGGTGTTCAAAGTACTGAAGTGGGGCCGTTTTCGTGGGGTGCACTTTCGGCCGCGCCTTTGGGGGGCGCAGGCGCGGAGAGGGACAAGCGCGTGCTCGGCCCAATCTCGGGGCCAAACAGTGCCCCCTGTTCCAAAAGTCCGAAGCGCTCCTTTTTGGCAAGGCGCCCCGACGCAGAAGAGGAGCCGGGGCTTCCGCTGAGCGGTTGGAGGGCTCGCGGCTGGCGGGTCGGCATGTCTCGAATGGCGTTCGGCGACATCTTGCCGCTGCGATCACCGATCGATCGGGCGTCGGCGGCCAGAGCGAGACAGGCACTCGTCAGCTCGCTGCCGCCATGCCTCTACGCCACAGGGATCGCCGCAGGTGAGTGCGGGGCGCGATACGGTGTCTCCAATCCACGGCGGCGTGCGAATCTCGATCGCCCAGCGGTAGTGTGGGGCAGTCCGCCTGCCCCTCTCTTGGACGCCAGCTTGGGAAGTGCGGCGTGTTTCTCCGGGCGCCGTTTCAGCGCCAGGCGCGATAGAATCTGGGTGCATTGCCGGGGAGGGAGTCCGCCTGCGGCCGCTTTTCGGGCCCTGTCCAATGGCCTCGCCTTGTCGCTCGCATGCCGTTCACCCAGCTGAACACCAGTTGGATACTGTTTGCTTGAGCAACGGCGCCCTTGTGCATTCTGGGCTCGGTACAGCCCGATAGTCTGAAGGGCATGCCATGTTATGCTTTGCGTCTTGAATCAATTTTGAAATAATGGCTTTGGAAATAATAAATGGCTTTGGGCGTTCTCCTCGTCCTTTGTGTGCGTATCCCATGGGCACGTCCCATGTCACACGCTGACCGATCTCCCCTCATGTTGGACACCTCATTTCACACAAGGCGGCCTGAAGATCGAGGGGCAGCCCGTCGCCATGCAATGTGCAAATTTGTTTGGTTGCATTTTGCATTTCCAGGGCAGAACATCGCCCTTGCGCCCTCACTGTGGCATGTGTCAATGGCAAGTCTTCTGCTTCAGAATGTTCTGACTTGCCTTCCCCAGGCGGAATCAATTCTCAAGTGCCTTGGTGTGAAGTGGGGGCGCTGCTGAACCCTCCTGAGGCAATTGGCACTGGAGAAGCTCGTATGGCACATGCCACAAAGCAACAATCGTTGCCAGCACGTCACCTTTGCGTTTTCGTGCAACACTGAATCTGTGTCATTGATGTTCATGCACAGTTAAAGTTCCTTGTTTGTGCGTGTTCAGGAGGACTCCTCGGTGCCCCAGCTTCAGCGAAGAGGAAATTGTCTTATGGACTGATGACACACCCTTGACTGTCCAGGAGATCACTGGTAGCGCTGAAGGGTGTGCCTTAATGGATCACATAGAAAAGGGCTATTGCACTGTGCCATCTACCATTTTTATACACCACAGGCCAATTGCACTTGTAATGTACTGTGCAGGTAGCACTGCTGCATGAGTGGGTTTGTTTTGTTTGGTTATGACCCTGTACCTGTCAAAAAGGAGTGTTCTTGTGTTTGAGCAGTTTTCAAGCCTCCATCAGATATTGGCATCACCTGATGGGTGCACGCTTGGTACCCACCAAACATGGAGGTCTAACTCTTCTGGAGAATTTAGGACTTCTGCAACAGGACTGGTGGCCCCAAATGTGTGTGTTTGTGCGATTTCCCATTGCATTGTGTTATAGTACAGCTGGAAAACAGTCACTGTAGCAGCATCTATGTTCAGCCTTGTGTGTCTAATGGGCATATGCACAACTGGTGGCGCAATGCTTTAGGACTGCAACCTGTACTACTTGTGACAATGTTCGGCTGCTGCCTATTGGATTAACCACAGTTGGGTAGCTTGACCTAAGCCCCTGCTGCCGACAGGGAGATTAGCTCAACATATGTTGGCATCACTGGAAGCGTAAAGCTGATTTTCTCCTTATGTGTGCAGACACCACACACCAATCGCTGTTCAGCTTGTCTGAGCCGTGTCTGTTGTGTACAGGGCATGAAGATCGAAACATCCTTGACAGCATGAAGGCATGTACAGTTGACGTTGATGTTGATTCATGCTTTGGCCTGCAAATGTGAGATCGAGTCTGAGGGAGGGACACCTGTGTTGCCAAAATGCTTCATTTGCCCTTCTGTCTCTGTATCTCAACAGGGCTCTTTGATTGGGTCTGGTGTGCAGTTACCGAACAGGCAAGATGAACAGTTCTTTTGCATCGCTGTCTGCAGCCTTCAGAGCATTGTAATGTGCAGTAGCTGAGCTCACAGAAGCACAGCCCTTGCTTCCGAGGCGCAGGACAGTATTTTGTCATGCTTGGAAGCTCGTAGTTAGGAGCATAAGCAGCAGCCTTGAGTGCTGTATTGTTCATAAATTGGTATGCAGTCTGCAGGTTGCTTTTATTTGGGGTCTAATGACCGGGGCGATTCACAATGTCCTACGTTCACTGTGCCAAGTGGTGCACTGACCAGCACTACAGTTCCTTAATGCGTGCACCCGCTTTCATGATGTGGCTGTTGGGCGTGTAGATCTCCATGTTTCTGTGTGCATTGCACTCACGTATCAACAACCCGAAACTAGGTCACTGTAGTGAATGGTGCTTGCCAAGCAGTGTTGGATGGCAGCATGAGTACAAAATTGCTGCTGAGTATGAGTGTGAGTATTAAGCACTACAGCAATATTTGGTTTTCACTTGTTCTAACATGAAGTTGCTAACATCAATTGGCGGGCATCATTTCCAGCCCACTAGGGTTTGCAGCAGCTGTAAGATGACAAATGCCCCAGTGATCGGCTAGTATCATCCTTGGCCTAGTTGATTCATGCTGCAGCAAATTACATTTTTGAGTCTATTCTCTATTCCAGTGTTTTGTAGCCTGCTGAATTGCCCTTTGGCCCAACAAGAGCATGTAGTGCCTCACCCACAGAAACAGCTACATATTTTGTGCAACATCAGCATTCCTGGTTGTGGCAAAGTGCAGCAATTGTTCTGCATCGCACATTTGCT